AGAAATATATAAAATCAAAACTCAAATCGAATCAAAACTCATCAATTTATTAAATGCGAATATGATAAATCTATACTGCATTACTTTGATATATCTCTAGTTACAATCCAATTCTTTCAACTACCACTCTAATATCAATTTTAATGCCCTAGAATTGGAAGAATTATTTATTCATTATTTAAGAATATACCATAGCTTTTATAATTTATCAATATAAATAATAAATAGTGAAAGCAATTTAAATTATATATATCAAGACATTTTACTATTTATTCAACCAAAATGTTATTTATACTAGCCATAAAATCAATGTAATCACTAATCTAACACAAGCTCCTAACTATAAAAGAATAAATGAAAAATTAAGACTATTCTAGGTTAACAAAAAATTAAGGGTATCATAATAACACCACAAACCATCTTTAAAAAAAGCATGTCAACCCTCCCTCTTATGGAGGATATTATGTTTTTACTGCCAACTCATTTTATAGAGCTAACAGCTAGCCTTTCTTGCTTATGAAATTGCCATAATCAAAATGTAGTACAAAATACTTAATTATAATAATTACAAGAAAATCTATATAATAATCAAAATCATTAAAAATTAAAATAAAATTTATTTTACTTAAAATAAATATAAGAAAATTTTAAACAAAATTGATAGATGAAAGGCCCCGAATTACCTTCTCTCTCTTCCATCTCTCTTTTTTGATAAGGCATGGTGCTGAAATTCTGCATTATTGGATGCCACACCTACTTTAAATGCTTCAAGAATCCATAAATAACAAATTAAATTCAACATTAACATTCTTATCCACTTGAATATCATTGGCCACAACCATATATATGGAAGTAACAACTGAATCATACACTCGAGTATCCACCTAGTCCATTTTGCAAGCTGCATGAGGGCATCCATTCATTGAGTTGGGAGTTACAATAGCCAAAACCAATCCATCAGAGAGTTGAATGTCTTCATCTCAACAAGCATTTGAGGTATCCAAGTCATGATAAGAACAGTAGTGATCAGATTGCTGGACATTTTAGTTATAAGTCATCTGAGCCAAGGAGTCCAAATTTGCGCAAGATTGACACTTGGTGAAAACTGCGACTAGGTTTAAAATAAACTCATTATAAAATCTCTTTCATTAATCATCAAAGACATATGCATACTCATATTACATGGCTATAAATATAAGCTAAAGAGATGAGTAATAAAACTAGCCATGACTTTATAAAAAGCAACAAAAGAAATACCTATAAACTCAAATTTGATTCTTAAAACTGCTAATCAACAAGCTCCTCTTTTTCATATCCTAAAAATGCAGAACTATAGTGAGCTACAAAAACTTAACTGACCACAACCACTGATCTAAATTTTTAAATTATTCTTTTATTAAATAGTTTTTAGAATATTTAGATGTAGTATAATAAATCACTATGTTGAGCAAAGTAATAAGAGCATAACAGTTATACAATTTTCAAATAATATGATGAGTAATAAAATAAACTAAAATTCAAATCACATAATATAATATAAAATATTTCTCCAGTCATAGACAAAATCTTAAAGGAATCTAGCCCCCTTATGACTACCTTTATGCCAATAGCACCAAAACATGGTATTTTGCCACAAAAATATGAATTTTTAGCCACCAAAACATGACTTTTTAGCCACAAAAAAAAAGTCGTATAGGCACCATATATATATTGCTTCTTTTACATTAACACTTTTTAGAACTTCTTTACTATTACAAATTTATCCTTATAATTCAGTAATAAAAAAAAGAAATTTAATTAGAAAATTAAAAAAATATTCCTATTTTTGAAAACTAAGACATAGTGCAACCTAACTCGATTCAACTAACTTTTTAAATTGAGCCGACTATAAAAATGACTCGAAATAGCTGAAAATCCCTTCTTTACCCTCAAAATCCTCTCTTTCTCACTCCAATGTTATCTGCTCAAATGTTCATATGAATGGAATATTGGAATTTAAAACATATTAAAGTGTATATAATGACAAGTGCTGTGGTGTCACTATCTAGCACTGCAGTGCTAGTTTAATTTCTAAAACCTAAGAACACAGTGCGAGAAAGCCATGTTTGAGTACCTATGCATCAATTAGCACCACACATAGGCACCATAACACATGAAATTATGATAGTTTAGAGGAAAAATTCATATTTCACTAAAATGCAACCAACCCTATAACTCACTCCAAAATAAATGTAGACCTTTTTAATACACACATATAACTTTTGAACACATTTGAAAGAGTCCAAAACATGAAAGTTCAAATATTTACCTTTTTAAATTGAGTTAGTAATGAGTTAAGCTAAATACTGAACATGGAGGTGTCACATTGGCGATAGTGGTCATATATAGTTGGGTAATAGTGGTCAGATGATCGTAGTCAGATGATGGTTGTTTGAGGAACACAATTAGGCATTAGTGGTTAATGGGACCATAATTGAGCGATAGTGGGCTAAGGATTATTGTCGGATGATGGTGGTATAAGGACTATAGTCAAGTGGGCGATGTTGATCATAGGACTATAGTCTAGCAATGGTGATCGGAGGGATCGTAGTTGGATGATGGTGGTATAGAAACCATAATTGAATAATGATTATTTTGGGATCATTGTTAGTATGAAATGGATCTTGAAAGGATCATAGTCAGGCGACTATGGTTAGAAGGACTATAGTCGAATGATAATGACTGGAGGATTATAATCATACAAAGATGGTCTGAGGACTATAATCTATCGATGATGGAGGTTGAAGGATTATAGTCGAATGATTTTTGTTAGAAGATTATAGTTGATGGGTGTTAGAGGTTAAAAGGTCCATAGTCGGTTGATAGTGGTTGAAGAGATGTAATAGGGTGATGGTGGTTTAAGGACCTTATTTAATATGTGATGAAGGTCTGATGACCGTAGTTAATGAGTAACGAAGGTCAGAAGGACTATAATAAGTGGGCAATGAAGGTTAAAATGAGTGTAGTTGGGTGATGAAGGTCGAAAGGACCATAGTCAGGAGATAGAGGTCAAAGGACCATAGTCACGCTATAGTGGTCAGAGGACTATAGAAGGTTGGCGATAGAGGTTGGAGAACCATAATTGATGGACAATGGAAGTCAAACGGATGTTGTTAGCTGAATATAAAGGTTGAGGACCATTGTCAACTAGCAAAGGAGGTCGAAAGGATCATTGTCTGACAATGGTGGTCAGAGGATCATATATAATTAGCGGATGACAGAGGTCAAGAGGATCGTAGTCAGAAAATGATGGTGGGAGGACTGTAGCTAGTGGGCGACAAATGGTAGATGATTATATTTAGGTGGTGATGGTTAAACATCAAACCAAATAATCTGACGGTGGAGATCAAGCTATGAAGCTTAATGGCAATTGTTAGGCATTATCGATTTGACCATAACAATTAAGCACTGGAGATTCATCCATAGTGGTTAGGCACTAGAGATCTGACCATGGTGATTCGGCATTGAAGGACCGACGATGACAATCAGGTGGAGATTTGACCACGATGGCAGTCGGCCGATGAAAGATTTAATTGTGGTGGTCAGCTCATGAAAGGTTCAATGATAGAGGTTGAAGGTGCGAGGGTGGTGGCTATACAAAGGTTTGATGATGATGTCTGGGAGGCAAAAGTTTGATGATGGCAGTCGAGATAAGGTCTGGCAATAGCAGTCGGGTGGAGGTCTGATGCAAAGGGACTTGGTGGCAAAAGTATGGTTAATCGAATAATGATGGTTTGTTGGTGGTAGTGCTCGAGTGGAGTTCTGGGATTCCTCAAACCTCAGAACTCTCTTGAATCTCTAGCTTTGGGTGTTCCCTTTCCATTTAGTGAGTGATGCGCTATTTATAGATTTCTTAGAGTGGAATGCCTTGTAAATATGGAGAAAATCCGGAACACACCATCTTTCAGCCTACATTGATTCCCTTGCTTATGAATTATTTGTTCAATATTTAAGTGCCTTAATGATGTCAACATTAAGATAACTTAAGCAGTTGGATTTGTCTTATTGAGTTGCTTGATTTGACTATAAGCATGTCAAATTTGAAAAGCATTTGATCATCTAGTTAGTATCCCAAAGTTTTCAATTATGTTTCAAACCTTTGATTTGTCCTCATTTGAGCTCGGATTGAACCAATTTTTTTGTCATTGAGTTTGTCTCATCGAGAAGTTCAATTCAACTATAAATTTGCTAAAATCAGAGTTCGGATATTTTGATTTTAATTTTCGAAGTTTTCAACTCAAATATGCCTCAAAATTCATGCATGATCAAGATAATTTTCGATAACATGCCATTCATATTTCTTTCTCATGATATATAACTAATTTTATGAGTAATATCCTAATATCATTTACAAATAAATTAGAATCCAACAATATTAGCGTCATATGCATACTGTTATACTAAATACAATGAAAAAGCCCCTAACAATACAAATGTCTAAGCAAAATGGTTCAACTGCCAGAAAAAAAGAGCACACCGGTCTAGAAGATCCGATGCACATTCCGTGGTCCGGTTTGGTTCGAAAGAACGAGCCGATTACGGCACGAAACCGGGGCGCTCAAAATCTCTAATTCAAAGATTGGTCGCATACTCCGGGGCGGCTTGGTCGCATTTGGCCCGGACTCATCAGCCACGTGTTTGATACACGTGGCAGAATCTTCTTCAACTTGTACGCACGGCGTTGGGTGAAATTGGGTGCAATTCAGCTTGGTGAGGCAAGTCCATTTTTTCTCTTAACAGTCTCAGCCATAAACTCCGCCACGCTTTGCCTGGGCTGGCCCACTTGGCTGGGCCCGGCGGCGAAGAACGCCAAAACACCGCAGTATCGATTTTTGACTGTTTTCATTTCACACCAAACAGCGGTAGAGACTATTAGCACGATGCCACGTGTCATCATTTTCCAGCACATCCGTGCTCCATTTCATTTTAGCATCCGTGTTCTTACTTTTTTATGTTACCAGAGGTTCGATTTATATTCTGTAGAAGAAGCGAGAGAGAGCTGACAGAGCAGAAGGAGAGCAAATGAGACAGAGAGTGCGGGTAGGAGATCGCCGGAAATTCCATACCGAAGCTGTCCGTAAGTACCTTGCGGAATATCTGGGCCGGAGAGCTCGGTTTCTATTCTCTTCTTGGCATACGTTTTGATCCTAAGGAGGCGATTCGTTTGCTATTTTGAGGCGAGGTCGTTCCGAGGAGGGTCTTCTCTGGAATGGATTCGGAAGAGACGTGAAAAAGTTGGTTCTGTTTGATTTTGTGGCTGTTCTTTGATTGCCTAATTTGTTTGCTATTTGGGTTTTTGATTTGGGGAAGAGGGCAGGAAGAGAGCGGTCTGAGGAGGAAGAGATGGGGTTCAATTTCGGGTCAGAGCTGGTGCGGCTCGGGATCCTGGCTACGACCTCCGATCATAAGTCGGTGGTGTCTATAAATCTGTTTGTAACGCTGCTGTGCGGTTGCATCGTCATTGGCCATCTCCTGGAAGAGAGTCGGTGGATGAATGAGTCCATAACCGCTCTCGCTATCGTGAGTTCTCCATCCCTACTTGAAAACTATCGGATTTTTTAACGACCTATCTGGCCAGCCGATGCAGGATCGATGATTTGTTTTTGTGATTTTCTTTGGTTTTGGTTCTTTTTAATGGGGGGTTTATGTTTTGGGCGCAATAACAGGGGTTATGTACGGGAGTTGTTATTCTGCTGACGACCAAAGGGAAGAGCTCTCATATACTTGTCTTCAGCGAGGATCTGTTTTTTATATACTTGCTTCCTCCGATTATATTCAACGCCGGGTATGTATAGTTAAATTTCCTTTTTTCCCAAAAACTTTGTTTGATTGTTGAATTCTTGATTTGTTGTATGAATGCGTGCAAGTTTGGCATAATTTTGTTGTTCTTATGCTATATCATACTCTGGAAAGTTGCGATTTTGTTCCTTTAACTTGCATATTTGAATGAACTGTTGAATTGATACATTAGATGGTTTGTGAATATGTTATTTTTCATTGAGGATTTTGATTATGTTTCTGAACGGGGTAATGGAATCTGAATGATGTAATCACAATGATTCAGTCTTGTTACAAAAATCAATGAATGCACTTAAGAAGCAAAGGAAAGGTATTAGCAGGGTGGTGTAGAGAAAGGCCATTGCTGTATCTTTAAGTTGTGTCTTGCTTAATTCAGGCTTCATATTGCGATAAATTTTTTTTCCCTAATTTTTTGGCTTTTGAATGAGGGATTGTTGTGGTAAAATAATTGAGCATGACAATGAGATCTTGATGTAGCATCTGAACGCTGTTGCAAATAAGCAACAAGATTTTGAGGCCTAATTTTCTAATCGAAGTTCACATTTTGTTATTCATTCATGACATAAACTTAGATTTATCTGTAAATTTGAAATGTTTTTACTTATTTAATTCAGGCATCATGTTGTGATGATTTTAATGTTTTTTTTTTTTAGCTTTTTAATTTTTTTTTTTTTTTTTTTTTTTTAATTTTTTTTTTTTTTAGGGATTTTAGTGCTAAATAATTGAGCTTGCCGATGATTTTTTGTTGTGGTATTTTAACGCTGCTGCAAATAAACAATAAGATTTTGAGGTCTTGTTGATTAATCTCAGTTCAAATTTTTTAATCCATTAATGGCATAAACTTGGTTGTATCTTTAAACTTGAAATGTTGTGTCTTGCTTAATTCAGGATTCAGAAGTGTCAATTTTAATGTGTTTTTCCTTCAGATTTTTTTTTTTGGGTTTTTGGAGCTATTATTTTAGTGTTAAAATAATTGAATATTTAAACGAATTATTGTCGTTGCCTTTGAACATTGCTGCAAATATGCAACAGGATTTTGAGGCCAGATTGACTAATCATAGTTCAAATTATGTTTTCATGGCATTAACTTGGGAAAAAAAAGAGTCGTCTATATTTGTTGCTTGGAGGTTTCTGGTAAATATTATTTTTGCTTGCTAAAAAATTGAGTCGCATGAGCAAGTTGATCTTAATATACTTGGCTACTTACGATGACGCATGCGCAATCAATCAATTAAAGAGAGAATAGGGACATGATTTTATACATGAACAACTTGAAATGGAAAAAAACCCTAGGTCTAGCCTATCTAGAATAACTACTACAAATAGCACAAGATGCTATAAGGGGCTGCACATCATCAAAATTTGAGGTCTCAATACAAATTAAATGAACACAAGTTGTTGTAGGCGTCTCAAGTGAGATGGCAATGTAGGAAGGTCGACAGGGCATCCAAAGTTGATTGCAGCACACCCCTTCGAGATGTGTATGACACAACCTTGATGCAATAAAAATAGTAAAATACAATATGAATTCTAGAATGCTAAAAGTGTCCTACTCAAGTTTCTTAGTGATCCCAACAACCTTTAGAATTCCAGAATTCTTGAACATTCAAAATGCCCCAAATGAATGGAATTGAATGCCTATTTATTGATTTTGAGAAGGTATATTTATTTTTATTAGGATATGTTAGAATATTCTCTGTAAGTGTCAACAATGAATGGTGGAAATCAAGCCTTTAAAATATAATAGAACAATTCTGCCTTTGGGTTGGCATAATCAACTCATGAGTGGTTATTTGTGGTGGTTCGATGATGAATAATGATCACTAGACGAAGATAACGGTTAAATACTATTTTTATTCTCCTATATGAGTCGCAAAACAAAAGAAGTAAACTATCGCCAACTCAACTACAGCCTTTTGAAAAACAAAATAAACTTTACACATCATTCAAACACCAAAGGATGGAAAGTTGCGATCACCACTTCCTGATTTTAGGCTGGGATGTTCATCACTGCTAGGAAAGGGTCTAGGCTTGTGATTTCCTTGTCATTTCCTTAATTGCAAGAAATTGAATCGATAAAGACAAATTATCTTAATTTACCTTAGCTATTTATGATGACACACAATTAGTCAAATCTATAAACAATATGAATGCATACTTTTTTACATGAAAAAATCGAAAAGGAAAAATCATAAGAGTTCTTGTCCACAGTTGAAACAACTTGCACTCACAAAATAGGTTATAAAATGCCTTCCTTCTACATAAAATGCAAATCAATGCAAGGTAAAATTAAATCAATTTGTTGGAGGTGTTTCAGACGCTGATGATGCACAAAGCTTGATGATACTCCTAAGGTTTATCACAATTCACCTTCTCTGGAGATACAAGTGCAAAATGTTGATGTTACAAAATGTATGGCATTAATTCCAATGTGCTAAAGATGGCCTAAAAAAATTCTTCTAGAATACAAGATACCTTAAACTCCAAAATCCACAATGTTTATGTGTCCCAAATGAGTTGAAGTGAAATCTTCTTATAAATTTTGAGAAGGGCGCAACAGTCTTTGTTCGAATTTTACAATAATATTCTCTTAGGATGCTTACAATGAATGCTACAGATTTCATCCATCCATAATCAAAATATGGCTAAACAGCGCTTCCTTTAGCTTGCCTTAAGATGTTGAGATCTAGTTAAGCAGTCGGTGATGGGGATGATGTTGGCTCAGCAACCGCCATCACCTGCAACATCTTAATCAAAGTTTTGAATATACACTCTTTTATATCAAATTCATGAGTCCAATAGGGAAACAAATTGTAATTTTGATAAGAAATACTTGAGTTCGCTAGCAACCCTAGCAATAATTGATAAAAACAGCAGAAATAATGCAATAATCTTGATGAAATCAATCTCAAACGATAGATTGTAACAGTGGATTCAAAGCAAAAGCAAACACCAAACAAAATACAATTGATCCTCAATTCGAGAGGAGGATCGTTCTCTCCCAATCTCTAGACGATAAGTTTAGAGCTCAAGACGCCAAAGAAAAAGAGAACAAAAGAACCCAAATCAAAATATAGTCCTAACCCTAATTCCCTCATCCTACTTAAAGCAAACAATCAATTAATCAAGCCACAATTACTAATCAGCCCTTGCTGCCCCTCCTTTCCCTCCAAGGAGTTTGAATTTGAACTCTTAGTGGACCCCACTCCTCTCTCTCTCTTTGCCGCTGCCCCTTCCTGGAGGAAACCAGGACCAGTCCACTAGGGACCGGTTGTAGTTGGACCGGTCTAACAATGCCGCTCTCATAAAAGAATCACGTTGTCCTGAAACTGATGTTTCACCCTCTCGTATGGCTCCCACATGGCATCGTAGTGAGGAAGATTCTTCCACTTAATCAGCATTTCTTTAGTTTCATCTTCTTTATGGCAAATCCCATCAACTTTAAGGGTTCCCAAACACCTCTAAATCCTTAATAAGTGTCACCGATAACTCCAAACTGGATGTATAATCTCCAATGACCCTTCTCAACTGAGATACATGAAAAATTGGATGTATAGTTGCCGTTGGTGGTAGTTCCAATTGATATGCTGCACGACCCGGCTCGGGGGCTCGAATTAATGAGGTAGGAACATACGGTCGGACGGTAGATTAATTTTTTTTTTTAAATCTATTTCAATAAATTTTGAATGAGCCACTAAACTTCAAATTTGAAACAAATTAAATAAAACAAGCAATACCTCTCATTGGTTACATTACGTCTACGATATTGATTTCTACTTCTCATTTTGATTTTATTAACTTACACCTGAAAAAGAATGTTAGAACAACAACAGTAAGCCACAATTTAACAAGTAGCATATGTTTCTAAACTACAGTAACTCAAGGCAGTAGAAGTAATATGCTTGATGCCACTTTTTATTCCATATCTCAAATTTTATTTATTTTAAACATATCATTTATTTCATCAATATTTTAAATGTATAATTTTATGCATAAATCATAAATATATATCATATCATATTTAATTTACATTTGTCATATCTATGTTTATATCTTCCTCATTTTCATAAATAGTATAACTGTCACAAGAGCCACCGTCTAATTTAGTATCAATGAATGTACTACTTTTTTATCATTTTATTTTACTTTTACGTGAACGGGTACAACGTCCTTAGCCAGTATCATAAGGTGGTGAGCTCCATTAGTCAACATGCATATGCAATCATTCTATATCAAGCATATCATCTCATTCTTATAATATATGAATTTATATGATAATGCCATGAAATATAACAGTAACATAATCGTGATCTAAATTAACCATAAAGATTTCATAAGCATGCTTTGACTTTCTAAAACATATAACTGGAGATAAACAAAATTATCATTATAAGTAAAAAACCATGAGTACTCACCTTGAAATCAGATGTTTTAATAATTTATTTTAGTCTCTAATTTGCCGTCAGCTTAACTCATATATAATATTATGTAAAAATTAAGATCATTACATAAATATCATTATTTAATAATGAAAAATCTTAATTATAAATTATTTTACCTCACTCTTTCTCTCTCCAATTAACTATTTTAATATTATTATTTTTGGATTTATCATAAAGCCTTAAATTTGGAAACCAAATTTTCATTAATCTCTTTATATTAGCATGCCAAATCTTCCCAATCATTTAATTAATAAATAGGACTTTTCTATTTTCGGATTTAATTTAATTAGAAATTAGGAAAAATAATATTTTATGAAAAACCTTAATTCCTATCCTTAAAATTTTTCTAAGGCCATTAGAAATAATATTTATTATGAAATTTTCATAAAAATTAAAAATTGAAAAAAACCTAATTTTGAAATCTTAAAATAATTTGGGAAAGATTAAAATTTCATGAATTAGAAATCATTTTGCAACATTCCCTAATATTTTCCTTCCAAAAATTCAAGTTTTAGAAAAACCCTAACTTTTCATTTCAAAAAAA